CCCTACTTTCTTTATCTGTTAATCTGTTGAAGGATACCTAGGTTGGTTCCATAGTTTAGCTATTATGAATTGTGCTGTTATAAACATTGATGTGTCTGCATCACTGTAGTATGTGATTTTAAGTCCTTTGGGTATAAATCAAAGAGTGGGATAGCTGGGTCAAATTGTGGTTCCATTCTAAGTTTTCTGAGGAATCTCCATACTGCTTTCTGTAGTGGTTGCACCAATTTGCAGCCCCATCATGAATGTATGAGTATGCCTTTTTTCCCACATTCTTGCCAACATTTATTGTTGCTTGTATTTTTGGTTACCGCCTGAATCATCTTTTATAAACAGTATTATTTTAATTCTATAAATTCATGGGTACTGTGTGATAATTTATGCTTACATAGAGAACATAATGTTCAAATCAAGGTATTTAACATTTTCATCTCAAACATTTCAATCTTTAAGTGAACACAATAATTGTACATGTTTATGGGCTACAGTGTGATATTTCAATACATGTATACAGTGGGTACTGATCAAATTGGGACAATTAATATTTCCATTTTCTTCTCACTACCATATAATTGGGGCCTTTGAGCTTTTCTCTCTGGTTAGACATAAAACATAATAGGTCATTGCAAAGACTTGTCCCCCAACTCTTTTGTAGAGCGCCAGAACTTATTACCGCTATCTAACTCTTTTGGTACACATTATCCCATCTCCCACTACCCACCCCTCAACACTTCTCAGCCTCTAGTAATCACTGTTAAACATTTAGATTAACTTTTAAAAACATACATGTATAAAAACATGGAGTTTGACTTATTTCTCTTAATGTAATACCCTCTAATTCCACCCTCTTTGCTGTAAATGATGAAATATCATTCTTTTGTGGCTGAATAATATTCCACTGTATACAACTGTGTGTATATAGCACAGATTCTTTATCCTTTCATCCACTGATGGCATCTGGGTTGATTCCATAACAGCTACTGTGAGCTGTGCATCCATGAATGTGGGTGGCAGGTATCTCTTTTATATGCTGATATTATTTCCTTTGGAGATATACCCAGAAGTGGATTATATAGTAGATCTACTTTTAGTGCTCCATCTGTTCTCCATATGACTGTATT